GCTGCTGCTGCTGCTGCTGATTCTAGTTCCTCTGCTCACACCGGTAAATTGCGCTGAGTCTGATAGCGACAATTACGCTAATCGTGTTTGTAACAAGAAAAAAAGTGCAACAAGTGACTGCAGAATGCCTTTGTCCTCACTGTTGCTGCTGCTGCTGCCGTAAGTCGCTACACGCCAAGTTCGACTGTGCACACTTATCGCTGCACCAAGCGGAACACACCGACAGAAGAAAGAATTGGGCAGTTTGCAGTTGGTGGCAATCGCCTACTCATCGTCCCAAGCGTACTCACACGCTGCGATCGGGCAAGTAAAGGAGAACATCTAATTGAATTAGCCAACATAAATACGCCAATTTGGCGAGTCTTTATCGAGGCAAGCGATCCTATTAAGTGAAGTCCTCGGCTCGGTGCCATTTACCCAACAATGGGTAAATGCCGCCATGTTGTTCCGCTGCAGAAGGAGGTAGTGACACAGACACACTGGGCGCAATCATCTTTGATTGGCATTATAAATTGCCCACATGCACCACCACCACGATAGATGTCCATCTGCATCGTTTCGTGCAGAAGAACACCATCGCCACCGTCCACAATTTTGACTGCCCTTTCGTCGGTGGCAATTTATGCGTGTTCTTGCCTACTGTCTGCTTCCACAGTTACCAGACTAGGAAGCTGGAGCTCGTTCAGCATCGCTCCTTGACACTACGAGATGCTACCAAGAAAACGCAACAACTACTGCTGCTGATGTTGCATTTGCATTGGCAAGTGTTCAGCTCACTGTGTATTTGCAGCACAACTAAAACGAACAAAGCGTTTAGTCATTACAATGCAGTGGACATCAGTGAACGGTGGACACCAGCAACATCGACTGAAGAAGAAGAAGAAGAAGAAGAAGACATAAACAGTTGCCAGTTATGGCACAAAAGACTGGCGATTTACTGGACTGTGCGTTCATCAGTTGGCATCAGTGCCGTCGGTTGTGTCATTTGTTGTCAGCTGTTGTAGTCATCAATATATCTGAATGCCAGAGAGCTGGTTAGAAGCTGGCACTTACCAGAAAAGGTTCAAGTGAAAGAAGCACGTAAATGATGGAGGAAGTGAGCAGCAAACTTGGCAACTGGGCTGATCTCATCTTCCCCAACTGCACTGTGAAGGGGTCAATCGGCTGCCATGTGGCCATTCAGAATGCCTTCTCTGCGAGCTGAGTGAGACTTGTACAAACAAACGGCAAACAAGGCGAGTAGTGCACGATGAACGGTAAGTTGTTTGAATTGCTCACCAACAAAGAACTCGATGAATGCGCCAACAATGGCCAGTCTTTTCTTACTTCAGTCACACCAAAGGACAAAGTGTCAACTGGCGGCGTCACATCAATGGCGAGAGCACAAACTCAGTGCAAGAAAGAGGGAAGTGAGTGCAGTGTGAGAGAGCAAGGCAATTAGTGCCCTTCAGATGACAAACTTGCTTCCCTTCCCTGTGGCCGGCTTAACTTTGCCGACTAATCATCACTCGACTGGTTGGCCGAGGGTTGATTCGAGTATAATTTGCGTAGATTTTCAAGTCGATAAATTCGGTCATGTTACCCTGCTCAGTTCAGGTTAAGGTCACTCGAGGCAATTAAGAGTAGATGCTGTGATAAGCTTTGTTGCTATAGCTGTTTTTGCCTCTTTCAAAGGCCGATCATTGAACTGTCTTTTTCTGTCCTCATGTTGTCCTGGTCATCGGCCCAGTGCTCTTTTTGCATCTTTTTGCAGGAAGTGTTTACCAGTAAATGATTTTAAAAGAAAAAAATACGGCATTGAAACAAAATGTAAAGTTGTAAGAGGCAAATTAAAACGCGGGTGAGTCAATAGATGTCAGCATCATCATCAGAAGATTTTAAAATGTCAAAAAAGGTCCAAGTGATTTGTTTGAAGGCTCAAAGAGTCTATAATAAAAAAAACCTGATAAAAGTGCTCACAGGGTTGAAAACTGCACAAAAGGGCCGCATCAACAAAGCAGCATCGTCAGTGACATTTTGATTTGCTAAAAAAACGGACCTCATTCTCCTTCTTTTCTCTCATCTTCCTGTCCCATCACTCTCTTGCCTAACCAACTCGATTTAGACCAAAGACCGCCCCGACTTTGATTTCTCAGACGGTGAAACTTTTTAGACCAACGTGGGCCATCACCTGCCGCCCATCGACTTTGATTAACCGAGGCTCACAGCTCTCTCATCATAAATGGAAGATTACTGTAAGTACCCTTTGGAGGTCGAGGCAACGGCGGTATCGGCAGTTTTGGCTTTGAGCTGTTTTGGGCTACTTTATCTTGTCTAATCAATACTGTGATTCAAATAATTTATTAATGAAAATATAGTACATTTGAAAACAGCAGATTTAAAAGTCAATTGAGAGAGTCCGAGTTAGAGTAAAGTTCAGTAGAGGAATCTAAGTTGGTGAATCCAGTCCAGGAAATGCGTTATTTTTGTATATACATCGGGAAATCCTGTAGAGTTCATAGTTGATGAGCATTTGTGTTCCTTTTTCAAGCAGTGTATCACTTACCTGGTTTAGCACAACCTGACCCAAATGAAGTTATTCCCGCCAAGTACCAGGTGGAGCCAATTTTGCACTGCAATGGACCTGTGTGAGAAGAAACGGATTAAATGGATGTGGTCGGGTAAAAGAGGGGAGAAGCCAAACCTCCACTGTCACCATGGCAAGTTCCTTTGCCACCTTTCTCGTCGTCGGTACCCGCACAGAGGTGCCAAGTTCGAATGGTGATTTTAAACTTGTTAAAGTATGCCGTTTGACAGAGCGCATTGTTGAACACCTTGATGCGCACCTTTTGCAGTACATCGGAGCCTTTTTTGTCTGTACAAGAAGGACAATCGATTAGGTCAGGGATAAACAAAGGGGTGTCATCGAGTTAGGCGACTTACTATGATCTAGTTTTCCCCAACCAGAAGCGATGCATTCTTTATCGAAGAACTCAGTGTGCGTACTGGGAGGCAGGCAAATGGGTTGCACAAACTCGCTGATTTTTACCGGTTCTGCGAGTTTCATAAGGGCAATATCATTGTCGTATCCCTTGTACAGTGGGTAGTGAAAGACATCGGAGACCTGGTACGTCTGCTCGTAGCCATCGTCCATCTTCTGGTGGTACTCGCCGACGCGCACCTCCCAGTGCTTCGCTTGTGGAAGCATAAATAGTGGATTGATTAGACAGTGGGCAGCTGTGATGATCCACTCTTTGTCCACCAGGACGCCGCCGCACCAGTGGCCCACTTTGCCCGCCTGAGGATGCGTCAGCCGAATGGAGACCTGCCATGGCCACTCTCCCTCGTAGGACCGATTACCGCCGACGATGCGTTCAGTTAGCGGTATTTCGTTGTTGTATCGATTGATTCCACAAACTGGCAAAGAAGAGAGAAATAGGCACAGTTTAATTAAAGTTAATCCGATGATGACAATGGCGCGGTGCCTGATGATGCTCACTTCACGTCAAAATATGCACAGGCAGAGTTCTTACCATTCTGCGATTTAGCGGCCACTTGTGAGGAAATAATGGACAGCACTGCCACAAAGGGAAACGCATGGTGCGCCTCAAAGCGCATACTAACAGCCGATTGAAGATTGAAACTTGTCGGGACGATTCAACTCGGGATGCTGCTCAACGGATGTGCGGCAGTCTGTGCTCCAGTCTGTGACCAGTTTGTCATGTGCAGAGGCCACTGTAAAGGGAGGAAGGGCAAAGGCTAATGGTAATGGCTGCTTTGGTCGATTGGCTTGCCCAGAAACGCGGCCACTTCACTGGAAGAGTCGGCGGTCCTCAGAAGTTCACTGAGGCTGTTGCTGATGCTGGAGAGTAGAGCGCACGGCAATGACAACTTTAGACTGCCGTGTCGGCGGCGGCGGCATTAGCAGACGAAATCGGCCGATTGCCTAGCATCAGTTACAGCAGTGCATTGCAATGCACGCCGTCCAGTGGGTTTCAATTAGGAGAAACGCACACACAATTACAGACTGGCGAGGAGAGAAATGAGCGGACAGCTGCGCAGATGGAACATGGTTTATGGTGATGATGGTGATCAAGTTTGACTTTCAGCAGTTCAAGTAGTTCACAGTAGCCAAACCTGCTTGAGCGGTCCGTCTCTGGCCGCCGTCTCCGTCCGATCTGATGCTGACAGGAGATGTGAACGAGATGAGGTGGAATTGTCCACAAGCTGAACTGCTCCTGTCGCTGGCGCACTGTCTGTGTCCAAGTGCGCTTGGCAAGTACTGGCCACAGTGCCCCCTGGGAAGGCCATTCCTCGGAGCCATAGTCTGCAGACGCAGACGACACTCACACTGCAGACTATGTTTGATTCACAATCACTGATAGCGGTGCGCTTCATCAGTGACAGCTGTAGTACGGTATAGGTAGTGGTATAATAATAATTTATTTATATCATAAATAAAAAAAGTAAGTCAAATGCCATAGAGGCGAAATGCCAATGTGGAAAAGATTCAACAGGATAATATTTACACAGAACATGCTTTGGTGCTGAAAACATGACTTTTTGGAACATTGTGTTAAATCAAGAGTGGATCAGCTGCCGCATTCTACTTCCGACTAATTGGAGGCGTGAATGTTGATCCAATCGACAAACTCGGTGATTCGCGTGTACACTCCAGGGAGGTTTGGTCGCGCACAGCCGACGCCCCTGTGTGGTTGAGAAAAATGTGAGAAACAATCTGAAACTGTGAAATAAATGACTTGAGAAATGACTTACCAGGAGACAAGGCCAATGAGGATGAACTTGCCGTCGTCCCGAAGAGAAAGTGGGCTTCCTGAGTCGCCTTGGCAACTATCTCTGCCGCCATTTTTAAATCCTGCGCACATCATTGCAGGAAATATCTTTTCCCGACGTCCGACACTCTTCATCCAACTTTGGCACTCATCCGAGTCGAGCACTTCCACTTCAACCTTCTGAAGAATGCCTGGCGAGGTGGAGACGCCGTACTGCGTTCGGCCCCAGCCAATTGCCGTCGCTTTAGAGCCTGTAAAATTGCGGCCTGAAAAAAGTAGACAGTTTAGAACAGATGGTCGAAGGTTGCAAGATATCCATACCTGCACTGTCTTTGGGTGGCAAACAAATGGGCAAGATATGCGGCCGGTATATCACATCTTGACTAAGCTCTAGTAAGGCAATGTCATTCTGGTAAGTGGCTGGGTTGTAGTTCTCATTGACCACCTTCCGCTTCACACTGTACTCTTCGTGTGGGTACTGCTCCGTTTGAGCGCGCAGGTTATAATCACCCAGGCGAATCTTGATGTTTGATGCAGGAGTTCTGGAGAAAGCAGTGTAAGTAAAGTTATTATTGGGGTCACCACTTGTAGGACATACTTGTGAACGCAGTGGGCTGCAGTGACAATCCAGCGCTTCCTTATCAGCGCTCCACCGCAGGAGATTTTTTGGTTGAGAAACTGCTGCTTCACAATGGCCACTTGCCACGGGTTTTGGCCAAACTTTGCATCCTCACCGCCGACTATTTTTGCTCCTCGCGTAAAGTGCACCTGACCACATTCTATGTATGTGTACAAGTTAGTACGGTAGTTGGTTATCTCCAGTTTGTCAATTGAGAGGATACTAACCAGGATCAGAAATTTCTTCGGGAACGGCAATGGTGGTAACATTGGTGGCAGTTTCAAAGGGCACACAGCAGCTCCAGAAGATGCCACCATTGCAGAGATCAAGTGGTCGCTGGCCAGACATCCAACAAGTGATGCCAAAGGTGCACTGGTAAGATTCGCTTTTGTGGCTGCATTTCTGCGGAAAGGCTAAATGGCGGAGAGGGGGTGGAGGAAATAAAAAATAATTTAAAGCAGTGCGCAGAGCAATGTGTATATGACAGAATTGGTCGTACATAAAATGAACCTGGCAATGCTGAGAAGGTTCCACAGTGTATTGGACACCTGCTTGGAGTCGTAGTTGTTGGGGTGGCCTTCAGGAGGGCTGCCTCCGCCGCCGATGACCGCCGCGTTCAGCAGTGGGTAGGCATTCAGTGGGGAGAAGGTGTTCAGTTGCTTGTAGGCAATGCTCAGCGGAAAGCGGAAGTGACTGGTGAGGTTGGAGGCCGCACTGCTCAAAGAGGACCGGCGGAGGAAGTACGACTGCAGCGGATTTGTTTGGCATAGGAAGCTGACGCTGACTAGGAAAACGGACAAATGCCTAAACATTCTGTTGACAATGGAGAGATGAAAAATGAAAAGTGGTTAGAAGAGGCAGTGGACATCAGAGAATATGAGGCATTGCAGACAGTCAACTATCAAATGAAACACAAAGACAAAGAACAAACAAGTCCCTGTAAATGGTCAGTGACCTCAACAGTACTGGCTCGATTGTCTTGCACCAACATCGACGCGTAAGGCACAGACTGACCGTTTCTCTCGTCGCTCATGTGCTCAATACTCCCGAAAGCTGTCGGCATGCTCACAGAGGCACACAGACAAACAGACACCAAAAGTGAAGAGCCAGGATTGTGAAGACCAACTGGCCCAGTGTCTGCTAGTCTGTGTCTTTNTACTCCCGAAAGCTGTCGGCATGCTCACAGAGGCACACAGACAAACAGACACCAAAAGTGAAGAGCCAGGATTGTGAAGACCAACTGGCCCAGTGTCTGCTAGTCTGTGTCTTTCTTTGCACTCTTAATAATTGACATTGCACAGCAGAGAGTGAGCGCAGGCGAAGGTGAGTGTTCAGAGAGAACAAGTTTCATTATTTTAATTGATGATGATAGAAATAAATTCGCTGTCAGATGAAATGAAGTGAAAATAGCGATTTGCGGGGATTTGTGCAGGGTGGATATCAGTGCGGATCAGTGTCATCGCCCAGTGCACACAAGCGCACCGTTTTTGGTCTAAACTTGGCCAATGGAAAGCGTTTGTTGCAATCGATAGTGAGCGGCTCTATTTTTAATAACCAGGTTAGCTTTTGCTCTCCGTCGTACAGTGCAGTACGCAGCACGGAGTGTGCCGCAAAAAGAAAGAAGCGACAGCGGCTTTGGGCAAACAAGCTAACAGGTGCCTGTCAAGTTCACTGTCGACCGTAGTGTAATTTCAATTTCTAAATTAATCCGCCCCTAGTCTGAGTGTCGCTGTTGTTGTGTTTGTGTGTGTGTCGGTACATGAGGGCAGTAGTAGTGAGACAAGTGCAACAGTGTCGTGCGTCCCGGCTACAACGGTGGCACTTGTCTTTGCGGGCTGACGGCTACTTGCAAATCGATGCCAAGTGTGAAAAGTCTTGAGCAAGCGCAAGCACTGCCAACAGTGGCGGTCTTTACCGCCGCTGCTGTTGTTGCTGGCGGGTCTGAAAGCGATCACAGGCGCAGATTAGGCGCTTTCTCGTCATCGCCACCGTCGCCAGGTAGGTCAACGGACACGAGCCCTACTTAGCCGGCAGAGTGAGAGAGAAATCGTGGATACTCTTGACTAGCCAAAGCTGTGTGTGTGTGTGTTTGTTGCTAATTTTAGTCGCACAGTGAGAGCGAGCCAACAGGCAGTGATCGAAGCAGTGAATCTCCTTCGCTCGCTCTCTCTCACTTGCACGGGCTTCCAGTCATTGGTACCGATCAGTGGCCGAGAATTGCCCGACGCCGCCGCATATTTATAAATAGCCGGCGATTCACTTGCGCCGCGCGAGCTCCAAAAGAGAGTCTGTTTCAGCAAGGACAGCAGTAACTACTGCACTGCCAATGACCACCACCACCACTGTTGCTACTACCGCTAATTCTGGTGATGCCCAGTGGTGGTTGCTCCCATTTTGCACTCTCTTCGTCTTCATCACTGCTTGGCGTTGCCTTATCGCCCACTAGCAGCCCTTTTCTGCTGACCAGTGCCTTCCACTCGTCAATGGCCGATTAGGCTGGACGCACACCGCTGCGATTATCGACATTTGATGGACGGCCACTTTTACCGGCTATTGAGCCGGTGTATCGATGCCTCTGACGCCACGACCTAGGCCATCCATCCGTCCATCCATCACGGCCATCAGGAGATGCATAATCGTTTTGTCGATGTGATTTTGATGGCCTGCTGAGTCTCATCAGCACCGGAGAGGTGGTCGATGCCGATTGATGGCCGCGCTGATGATGGTGCCAGTGGTGTGAGTGGTGCTCACAGAAGTGCTCATTGTCCTGGTGCTTTCCTCATCAAA